AGGGGGAGGTGGGCAGGGGGAGGTGGGCAGGGGGAGGTGGGCAGGGGCAGGAGCTGCTGCTGCTGCCAGCGCCTCTGGGCGAGGAGAGAGCATCCAGTCCCACTGCTGCTCCCACTGCATCCCCCTGACCAAGCGGGCTTCCACCCCAACCTGGAATTTCTCTTATTTAAAGGACAACCTTGCTGTCATGAACTTGCATTAGGAGCACCGCTACGCTGGGAAATCCATGGTGGACATACATCCCTCATCCTTATGGGGTGCTTATGGGAACCAGTGCTGATAGGTTCAGCATCTCCCCACACTCAGGCAACAAAACAGCCCTACGCCGAGGCAGACATCCTGCATCCCATTGGGAAAACTCCTTTTGGTGTGACTCCTATGTGAACTGCTCGGTTTCCATTCCTAGCTAAAAGCTTCTAACTCAGGGAAGAGAAAAACACCAAGGAAAAAAAAAAAAGCCCAACGCACTCAGACACCAATCATTTTTAAAGTGGAGTTTCTGTTTTTTGTGGATTTGTCACTGCTGCAGCATGTTTTATTTTCAGGTTTGCAGAGGAACTGGTCAGCAGATTTCTTGAAGTTGCTGGGGAGCACAGTGAAGGGGACAAGAAAAGTGTTCCAAGTGAGATGGGCTGGCTTCTGGCCAAGGAGCTGCTGCTCACCCAGAGGGAGCAGGGAGTCCAGATGCTGTAGCTGTGGTTTATGTGCAGGAGCTGCACCACAGGGAGTTATCCAGACAGTACAGAGTAAATAAGGATTCTACCCGCATCTGAAGTCACTGAAATTACTTCTCCAACCCCTTACCTCTTATGCAGGAAGCACAGTCTCAGCTTACCATGAAGCACTATGTGTTCCTCCCAGGGTCAACGCAGCTTCTGCACAGAACAATGCAGGACTCTGCTCTGTTGAAATGGGCCTGTCGTGGTGGCATGTATGAGAATTGCTTTTTCATGGCTTGGCGTGGTGGCCCACGCCTTTTGTGGCAGCTTTTTAGAATTGGAAGACCTCCAGAAGGTAAGTTTCTCACCCACGACTGAGCTGTTCCACTCACCCTTCCTCCCCATTGCTATGAGGGAGGCAGCAAGCAGAGAGCAAAGGGATGCAGTCCCAGCTCCCAGCAGAAAACCCTGAGCCCAGATCCTGCAGCTCCCATGCCATCAGTTCTGCCACACCTTGGCTCCTTCCTTGGTGAGATGAAGCGCTTGGCAGCTGGAGACAGCAGTGCTCATTCCTCAGCCAGATGGCATTACAAGGTCAGGCTGGACGGGGCTCCAAGCACCTGATGGAGCTGTAGGTGTCCCTGTTCATTGCAGGAGTGTGGGACCAGATGGCCTTTAAAGGTCCCTTCCAACTCCAACAACTGTCACACAAAGAACATTCACCAACTCTTTAGTGCCGAAAAGCCAAACTCCAGGTAGGAGGGGATTACATTAGAATGAACAACCAAAAAAAGCCTATTTTAAAATCAGTCTTTGTTTTTAAACGATCCCACTAATAGGAAATCCATTTGTCTATTTCACCAGTATTTTTTTTTTCTGGGAGATCCCTATTTATCTGATTTATTAGAAATGCTCCACTGGGACACGACGCATTTTACTAATAAACCTAGAGGTTAGCACTATTGTTTTCAGTACAGCTGACCCTTGGATTTGCTGTAAAACCAGAATCATTAGAAATGCTCCATTGGTTATATTGGAGCATTTCTAATGAATCAGAGGGTCAGCTCTATTGAAATAATGTAAGATATCGAGATTCATGGGGAAAACTGCATTGAAATGCATGGAGCGTTTCTAATAAATCCAGATTTTAGTGGAGTTCAACTCTGAATCCATTAATACGTTATGAAAAAATAGTTACTGAGCATGCACCGTAAGCACTGCTTCCTGTGTTAATCACTCATTTATTTTAAAATGCATTGTAAAGACAACAAAAGGCACCAGCAAAAGTTTGTTGTTTAAGTTGCACCACTTCCTCTACTCACACAGGAGCAGAGATCCACCACTACAACCAGTATGACAGCCCCAGCACCTCACC